TCATGTAGATATAAGTTTTTTTTATCGTTTAAAGTTAAAATATTTTAATCAGGAAAATTGTATAGTCAATAGAAGAAAATTGTAGGTATATGAATTTGTATGCTTAAAGCTTTGGTTTCGAAATACAGGGTGTTAATAAAAGTTAATTAAAAAAAGTATAGTTAAGCCACTGCAATTAAAAATACAACTTTTTGTCAATTGCATGTTTTCTCTATCTTGCTTAATTTACAAAAAATGTGAAATTTTGGTAAAGTAATAGAGAGGGGGGCAAATTTAAACATAATTTTTACCTCGGAAAATTCCGACTTTCGAAAAGTTGGGGTTGTATTTTTACACCTACACAAAATTTTTTGTTTTTAATAATAATTTTAAAAATATTTTTCTATAATTTCGATATTTAAGAAACCTTGTAACATTTACGCGCCTATTCGATATGGGTCATTTTCAAATTTCTTGTACATTTAAAGAAGAAAAAGTAAAAACAAAAACTTAATCTACAAACCTGTTTTTTCCAAATTTTGTTTATTTAGGTGTGTTATTTAACATCTAAAATTGGGCAGTTGAATTTTTTTAAAAAAGCATACTTGACATATTAAAAAAACTTATATAAAAATGCCTAATCATTTTGAAAATATATTTTTTTGCTAGTCAATAATCCTTATGAAGTTTTATTTACACTAGGATTTGTTTAAAAAAAGAACAAACATTTATTATTTATAAAAAAAAATTTGAGTACAAAACTAAGTAAAACTATGTTCCATTTCTCAACTTTCTTACATATGAGGTGTGTTCAGAAAATATCGGGAATTTTCGTTTTTTGAAACAAATATTTATTTATTCGTCTACATTAATGTTGTCGCCTTCAAAATAGTCCCCATTGGATATTATGCCAGCTCTTCTTCCAATACTCGAAACACTTCTAAAACTAAAAATCTTTGGGATAGCCTTTAGTTCTTTCAGCGATGCGCTTTTAATGTCATCTATGCTTGCAAAACGACGGCCCTTTAAGGTTCTCTTTATTTTTGGGAATAGGAAAAAGTCAGACAGAGGCATGTCTGGCGAATATGGAGGCTGGGGCATCATTACAGTATTGTTTTTGGCCAAAAATTTTGTTCAAAATTTAACAATTTTGGAACAAATTTTGCTGCCACGCGTTTCATACCCAAAACATTCGAAAACATTTCATGGGATGAGCCAATCATCAGAGACTTCTCTGATGGTTTATAACCATTTCTTCCACTTTTTCCATGTTTTTACCGGTTGTTAATGTGCTTGTGCGTTCGGGGCGTTCGTCATCTTTAACGTCTTCACGGCCATCTAATACCACTTGTAAGCTCTTGTTTTACTTATAGCAGACTCACTATAGGCCTTTGTTAACATTTCACAGATTGTATTTAATTTTTTAAGCAAAATTGGATACAAATTCTTTGATCCATTTCTTTTAACTAACGAAAAATCGCTGAGCTCATAAAACACGTCTAACCTTAGCGGCTGCCACAGACAAAGTAAACAATGAAAACAGCTAAAGTTTTTATCATACTTCGGGGGCATGTATACAACATAATAAAGAAAATTTTATGACAACCGGACCCTCCGAACTGTCGAAATTTAACAATTCCCGTTATTTTCTGAACACACCTCGTATAGTTGTTAAAACACTTAAATCAATTGATTTCGTTTAGGAAAATTTCAAATTGCGTTAAACTTAATTATTTATAAAACATTAAAGTTGAAGGACAGCAAATGTACAAGAAATTTGAAAATAACCCATATACACTCTTGGTGAATCATTAACAACGCCTTTAATTAGAATATAGAAACTGTATTAAATAGAGTTATATTTAAATTAACCTAAATGATCACCTTAAAACAGTTAAAACTAAATAATACTCTCTAGAATAATTATTTTGCCAAAGCAAGCCCCCATTTATACCAAACCCGATATGTTTACATCAGCAAACAGCCAGCAAACGTCACCGATTCGAAATCACCGTCATACAAAGTCACCAATTTCCACCGAATTTTTCACTGCACCTCACAATAAAACACTTTTTAACTAAAGGTAGCTCAATCAGGATTGAAACAGTCAACAAATTATGGCCGAATTTCGTTTGATAATACGGTAACGGTAAGCGAGAAAATCTATAACAAAGTACACCGGTCTAGAAATAAGTTGCTCGCTAGTAGAGAACAGATTTGGTGTAAAGCTGGACCAAATCCAAATATATAGGAAGCGCTTATCAAAGTATAACACGTTGATAAAGTTACCTGTGGTTTTCATTCAAAATCGTTTATATCTGTGAAATGTCTGTTATCGACATTTTTAGTGTTTTAAGTTATTGCTGAAAGCAGAGACGTATTCAATAATATATTGTATTACATATACAGGGTGACTTAACTTGAAACTTTGAAATATATCAGTTAGTATGTATTTTACGAAAAAATGTTTAAAATAAAAATTAAATGATTCGAGGGGGAAATCAATTAGTACTAAAATTGAACAAAATTGATTTTTTTCATTACAAATATGAAAAAATGTTTTTGACAAAATCTACCTATTTTTAGTCCAATGATCCAAATCTGCAATAAAAATCATTAAATTTTTATTTTAAACATTTTTTTGTAAAATGCCTACTGAGATATTTAAAAGTTTCAAGTTAAATGTATACAGGGTAACTCAACGAAACTAAACAGTTGTATTATAATAGTTTCATTTGCAGTAGTGACAACCCCTACAATCATACATTTTGTCCTTCGTGTTTCCTGGACAATGGTTTGGACAAAAAAGAGTTTTGGATTGGCCGGCAAGATCTCTAGATTTGACTCCCTCAGATTTTTATATGTGGCGTCATTTAAAAAGTAAAATTTCGCGAATGAACAATAAATAATGAAATTAATGCTGACTATCCAAATTAATGCTGACTATAAAAGTTGTATATTTATTTTCGATTTGTTCTATTTTCTACGTTTGTCTTTTTTATTTTTTCTTTTTTTATTTTATTATTAAAACATAAATTAGATACGAAATTTGGAAAAAAATTCAATCAAAAAAATATAAGTTAAAAGTAGGGAATTTAAAATATGCATGTATTTAAGATATTTATTAATTTTAGGTTTTTTAATGTTTTAGGGTTCTCTAGTTTTAGAAATTTTTATTTATGGAACTTTTAGATATTTAAAAAATATGTTTTAAATTTAGTATTCAAAATTATTTTGATTTTCAGCCTTGGACATGCATTAAATGTAGAAAAATTAACCATAGCCATTAACAAAAAAATAACCATACACGTATAAAACGTAAAAAAATAACCAAAAGTTTTAGTTTTTGTCGTTTGATTTTTAGGTTTTTGCTGATTTTTACGATTTTTTTAAAAAGTAAATAAAAGAAGCAAAACGTTTAATAATATACATAAAAAATATACGTAAAAAAAATAACCAAAAGTTTTAGTTTTTGTTGTTTGATTTTTAGGTTTCTGCTGATTTTTACGATATTTTTAAAAATGCATAATATAAGCAAAGCGTTTAATAATATACAAAAACTTTCAAAAATGGCGAATGCTCCGGGAAATTTTATTTATTTATTACATATATACAGGGTATAAAATAAAAATTAAATAATTCGAGGGGGAAAATCAATCAGTACTAAAAATTAAAATTACCAATGGAACACCCTATTTTTTATTGCAGATTCGGATTATTCGACTAAAAGTAGGTAAATTTTGTATAAATACATTTTTTCATATTTGTAATAGATGGCGCTGTAATGGAATGAACACTCCCGTTTGTAGTAAACTGCTTGACTGTACGTGATCAAATTTTATCCAAAAAAAGCTGCCTGCTTCTCCATAAATCAAAATCACTTCTATTTTTTCTTCAACTGTTAAAAAATCCATTTTGAATAACTGCTTAACGAAAGGAGGTCTTTTTGTTTGCAAATTAATCTTCAAACTAAATTGATTAAAATAATGCTAAACTATAAATAGTTTCTTTATACCTCAATACTAATTAATATTTATAACTATGGTGCGCAATTGATATCACCGAATAAAATAATGTATAAAACTTAAACCAAAGGAAACTTAAATATTAGTTAAAAATCGTGGGTACTTAAAAAATCAGATTTAATTTAATATAAAAATTATTACCAAAAAAAGTGATATTTTTATAGAAAAATTGATTACAGCGCCATCTATTACAAATATGAAAAAATGTTTTAGACAAAATCTACTTATTTTTAGTCGAATCCCTGTATATATACATTCCAATAAGATTATAGCTTGTCTAGGCATTAATATATATAATCAAACTTGCTACACTTAACCCTTTTTATAATTTCAAAATATTTTCGTTACAGTTCTGCTAAAACTCGGTTTATTTTTAAATTCAATTTTCCATGTAAACAAAATCACTGCCTTGTTTTGCGTTCAATGAATACGTTGTATTTTAAAAATAACTTCTAATCGGTAATAAGTCTAGCTTTATTTTGGATTTGTTTACTAATAAAATACTTCAAAAACCTTTTAAAAATGTATTAAAAATACTTTATGTAGCATTTTGATTAATAACAATGTATGCAAATATTATTATTTTTTCAACGACAAAATCTTATATTTTAAGTCAACATGTTGCCGCTTAATTGTGTCATTTATTATTTGTTATTCGGCTGGTTAAAATAAAACACAAAAACAATATATTAGATATGTTTTATGTGTTTGGAAATGTCGTAAAACTGGCTTGTGCATTCGAGACCGAAAAGCAGTTGTTGAATCTATTTTTGTGCGGATGCCCCATTTAATTTCAAGAACTTGACATCAAATCGCAACCAAAATCAATCAAAATATAGGTATAGGTAGGAAGAAAGATTCGAAAAAATTAATCTTGGATTTTCCATTACATCATTTTTTATTGACAGTTTAGAAAAAAATAAGTTTTTAATTAAAGCTATTAAAATATATTTTGAATTTTTTTAAAAATTAATGGTTATATGAATAAATAAAAACTCACCTGTTCTTCCATAGTCCCAAATTTAGAGGTGATTTCTGATGTCACCTAAAAATATACGATTAAATTATTATTAAAAGAAATATAATGTCCTATACAGGGTGCGCCAATTAACCTTGTATTAACTTATTTAGTAAGTCGCAAGTTAAAAAAAATAACAAAAAGAAAACATACGTCAATTAAAAAAAAGTTAGTTTTATGTTTACCTCTACTTCGTCAAAATTAACAGTTCTAGATTTTATTAAATAACATGTTTTTGCATACAATTTACTATTCATTGTTTTTTTAACAGGAATTTCAGGTGCACCTTGTATAGTTTGTAGTATACTTAATTTTAATTGTTATTAATATTTTTTTCGATTTTTATTTTTTTTATTTACCTAATGTTATTATTTTATTTTGATTTTTTATACTTCATTCATAATTTTATTTAATTTTTTATCTATAATTTCTAAAAAAATACATTTTGTTGTAAAATTAGTTTTTAAGTAGTAATGGAATTTAAAATCTTAAAATGTATTGGGATTTTTAATTTTTGTAATGATGCTTGAAAACAAATAAAAATCGGAAAAAAATTTCCCTATTTTACCTTAAAATCGACAATTATTATTTTTAGTCATTTAATATAGATTTCGATTTTTATAAATTGATTAAAAAACAGTTTTTTGAAAAATGTGTTTAAACCAAACATTTTATGTAGGTATGAAAAATGTTTTTTATATAATGTTTTTTATTATAATGACGAAATACGAATTACTATTATAAATATAAAAATGTAGAACCTCATAAAATTTATTATGTTGTATATAATGTACCTGTGAGAAGTCTAAATTGTTGAATGTACTTTCAGGACACGACATTGGTCTAGGTCTGGGTTCAGAGTTAAACATAGAAGGTAATCTAGGTACCCAACCTCCACTACTAGGTGGATTTGCCTGAAAAAAGGTACCATCATGCAGGGAAAACACTCACTGAGTTAATACATCAAATAAAATATTGAAACAAACCTGCAATGTGGATGAATATGTTGAGTTACCATTTTCATTGTGAAAACTCTCTTTCAACTCCTTATCCCTCTCAGCGTATGTATCCAAGTCTGATATTATTTCCTTCAAGGTGTTCTTGATGTTTTCCTCCTTGATTTCAGCCTTATTTTCTCTACTTCCAGTGGCGTAGCTTGGGTATCGATCTAACGAATTATACTGGGAATTTGAGTATGGAGAAGCAACAGGTTGATACGTGTTTACAGAAGCAACAGGTTTATAACCTGTTGGTTGCGTGTTGTACCAGTTATTATTTAAGGGTGTCGTGTAAGAAGTATTCTTTGCATTTCCAAAAGACGATACTTCATGATTCATTGGTGTGTAAGTATGTTGTAGTGGTGATGGCATAGAAGGTGCATATGTAGTTTGAAATGATGATGGCATCGATGATACGTTATGTAAGTGTCCAGAAGATATGTGTGTATTTTGTAACGATGATGGTACTTCACTTGGACATGCTTTACCTTGAATTTCTGGAGGTTCATATAAAACTGACTCACTAACTGGATTCGATGTTTCTGTAAGAATTATGGTGGGTGTAACACTTCTACTGATATGTTTCTCTACAGTCTTGTTGGTCATTATTTGAGATAATTCGCTATCATTTGTATCATTTTCATTTTCTACCATTATTGCATTACCATTTGATATCTTCTCATCATCACTGATTTTCGTGTTTTCCAACTTTCTAGCCAGGTCAAAACTTTTTGGAGGCTCAAAAGGTTGCAATGGCTCGAAGGGTTTTAAAGGTTCGAACGCCTTAACAGGTTCAAGTTTTTCGAATGGTTTCACAGGTTCCAGCGGTTTCATTGGTTCCAACGGTTTGTAAATTTTGCTTAGGTTTGATGATTTAGTTTCAATTGCGGTTTGAGATGGCGCTTCAGTCGTTAGGGGTTCCTGATAAGCAAGGAAAAAAGACTTCAATTTTCGTTTAAATGTTCAATTCATATTTTTAGTTTTTTATGATTCAATTTATCCAAAAAATATTCAAGATCTCCAGCTCCAACCTTGTATTAAGAATGGACCCTTTTTCTTTTACAATTTTACCAAATAATGGAAAATATATTTTATACCAAGTTTCACCTCACATTTTTAATGAATGAATGAATGAATATCTCAGTTAGTATGCATTTTACTAAAAAATGTTTAAAATAAAAGTTAAATGATTCGAGGGGGGGAATCAATGAGTACTAAAATTGGTCCTCATACTCTCCTCCTTATAGGGGGAACAGGGGGTAACTTTAAAATTTCCAATGGAACACCCTATTTTTTATTGCAGATTCGGATGATTTTACTAAAAATAGGTAGATTTTTTCTATGCATATTTTTTCTTAATCATCGGGAAAATATTTATTAAAATATTTTTCCGTTACACCTTGTGTCAAAATTTTAATATAAACTGCTCGTCATAAAAATCGACGCACCTAGTTTTTTGGAAAATATTTGAAAGCTCGTTATTGGAAAATTACATAATCGATTTTGATAAACTTCTGATATTTTGAATAGCTGATTCTTTGACTCTTATGTCTAATTTTGGGAATATTTTACACATAGCATTATACTACAGGGTGTTAAACGAAGAGATGTATTTTTTCCGAAATTTCAAGTTATTCCCATTCATGAGGCAGTTGAGTTTGATAGTCGTAATACCCCTCCCTAATATAAGAAAGGATTACCTGTGAATTTTCCAAAAATTGTCATATAATCGTAGTTAGCCAAGATATCCACAAAATCTCGAAAACGTCCCGAGGAATTACCTAACTGTTATTAGGAAGGGGTATTACGACTATCAAGCTCAACTGCCCTGTGAATGGGGATTTGAAATTTTGGAAAAAAACATCTCTTTTTTTAACACCCTGTAGTATAATGCTATGTGCACAATATCGTATTCTCAAAATTAGAGTAAGTCGAAAAAATCACTTTTGCTCATTTTTTGTATTAAACTGGGAAATATCGACAATTTTCGAAAAATTGCCACATAATCTTAGTAAGCCACGATATTCACAAAATCTCGAAAACGTTCCGAGGGATTACTTAACTTATAATAGGCAGGGGTATTACGACTATTAAACTCAACTGCCCCATGAATGGGAATAACTTGAAATTTCAGAAAAAATACATCTCTTCGTTTAACACGCTGTAGTAATGCTATGTGCAAAATATCGTCTTCCCAAAATTAGACATAAGAGTCAAAGAATTAGCCATTCAAAATTTCGAAAGATTTTCAGAATCGATTCAGTAATTTTCCAATAACGAGCTTTTAAATATTTTCCAAAAAACTAGGTGCGTCGTTTTTTATGACGATCAGTTCATTACATTAATTACATAACCTTTTTTTTTATTTTTAAATTTAAAAATAAAATTTATATTTGAAATAATAAAGATAGATTTTTTTACAATTTTCTGAGATTCCTGGGTAGTAGGTCATACCTTCAAGGTGGTATGTAGCATTTTGAAAAATTCTTCATATTTTGTTTAATAAATCGTCCTTTATGGACTAATTAATAGCGTTTGAAACTAAACAAGGGAAGTTACTTAAGCTTCAAAACGTTACGTAAAGTAAAATGTGACAATTAAAACCCGAAGCTATATAGAACTGAGCGCTATGCAGCGCGATTTCATAACATTTTGAAGCTTATAGTGAAATTCTGAAAATAATAAACCAAGTCAGTAAATATATTTATTGAAAAAAGAAAACATGTTACAATAAGGACAGAAGATAGAGGCACAAAACACTCCCTAATTCGTGGTACAAATAAAAAATAAAAATAATTAACCGGTACAAGCGTCAGTTCTATATAACTTTCTGTAAACTGGGCGGGAAAGAACATACAAAAAATTTAGTGTCTTTTCAGGTTTGTATCACATTACAACGTACTTATTTACTAGACTAACTTCCTTACTTAGTAAATGCCGCAAAAATCAAAAACATATATTAAAATGCGCTAAAACAGCAATGATAGAAAAAAATGCATGTGCAGAATAAAAAATAAAGACGAGATTAAGTGGGAAGATTTTTTTAGTAAGTATCTACATTTAAAGTATGATAATTTACAATAAAATAAAATAAAATTTGAATTGTCCAGTAATTACTAATACATGGAATATTCATTGAACTTTTTTCATTAAAAATCTTTTTTTGTGTTAAATTAAATAACATTAAACTTTTTGGAATCACTCAAAAATGCAAATTCATTAGTCGGCATTAGTCGGCAGTTTCTGGAAAGTCACTGTAAATTGTTTCAAAAGGATCTTTTAATCATTTCCGATTTTCCATAAAAAACATTATTCCCAAAATAGCTGTAGCTGTAGTCGGCACTCGAAAATGCAAATTCATTAGTCGGCATTTTCAAAATTCACGAACGAATAACGAAATTTTACAAAATCATCAAACATGACAATAACGATTCGATTTTTTCTTTAACTCTTTCCCGACTAAAAACTTTCACTGAAATATTCAAATTGCATCGAAATGACTAAAAAATTAAATAAGAAAAAAAGACGAGGAAAGGTACTGTAAATTGTCTATTTATTGTTTGAAATTACTACAAAAGGATCTTTTAATCATTTCAGATTTTCCATCAAAAACAGTATTCCCAAAATAGCTGCAGCTGTAGTCGGCACTCGAAAATGCAAATTCATTAGTCGGCATTTTCAAAATTCACGAACGAATACGAAGTTTTACAAAATCATTAAATATGACGATAACGATTCGAATTTTTCTTTAACTCTTTCCGACTAAAAAATTTCACTGAAATATTCAAATTTAGCATCAAACTGACTAAAAAATTAAATAAGAAAAAAATACGAGTTTTTGGAGTCTCTGTAAATTGTCTATTTATTGTTCGAAGTTACTACAAAAGGATATTTTAATCATTTCCGATTTTCCATCAAAAAGAGTATTCCCAAAATAGCTGTACCTCTTGTCGGCATTTTTAATATTCTCTAACGAATAACGAAATTTTATACAATCATCAAACATGAGGATAACGATTCGAATTTTTCTTTAACTCTTTCCCGACTAAAAAATTTCACTGAAATATTCAAATTGCATCGAAATGACTAAAAAATTAAATAAGAAAAAAATACGAGTTTCTGGAGTCTCTGTAAATTGTCTATTTATTGTTCGAAGTTACTACAAAAGGATATTTTAATCATTTCCGATTTTACATCAAAAACAGTATTCCCAAAATAGCTGTAGCTGTAGTCGGTACTCGAAAATGCAAATTCATTAGTCGGCATTTTCAAAATTCGCGAACGAATAACGAAATTTTACAAAATCATCAAACATGACGATAACGATTCGAATTTTTCTTTAACTCTTTCCCGACTAAAAAATTTTACTGAAATATTCAAATTTAGAATCGAAATGACTAAAAAATTAAATAAGAAAAAAAGACGAGTTTCTGAAAAGTCACTGTAAATTGTCTATTTATTGTTTGAAGTTACTACAAAAGGATCTTCTAATCATTTCCGATTTTCCATCAAAAACAGTATTCCCAAAATAGTCGGCACTCAAAAATGCAAATTCATTAGTCGGCATTTTCAAAATTCGCGAACGAATAACGTAATTTTACAAAATCATCAAACATGACGATAACGGTTCGAATTTTACTTTAACTCTTTCCCGACTAAAACATTTCACTGAAATATTCAAATTGCATCGAAATGACTAAAAAATTAAATAAGAGAAAAAGGCGAGTTTCTGGAAAGTCACTGTAAATTGTCTATTTATTGTTTGAAGTTACTACAAAAGGATATTTTAATCATTTCGGATTTTCCATCAAAAACAGTATTTCCAAAATAGCTGTAGCTGTAGTCGGCACTCGAAAATGCAAATTCATTAGTCGGCATTTTTAAAATTCAATTTATAAAATCATCATGACGATAACGATTCGAATTTTTCTTTAACTCTTTCCCGACTAAAAAATTTCACTGAAATATTCAAATTTAGCATCAAAATGACTAAAAAATAATATAAGAAAAAAAGTCGAGTTTCTGGAAAGTCACTGTAAATTGTCTATTTATTGATCGAAGTTACTACAAAAGGATCTTTTAATCATTTCCGATTTACTATAAAAAAGAGTATTCCCAAAATAGCTGTAGCTGTAGTCGGCACTCGAAAAAGCAAATTCATTAGTCGGCATTTTCAAAATTCACGAAGTTTTACAAAATCATCAAACATGACGATTTCATTTTTTCTTTAACTTTTTCCCGACTAAAAAATTTCACTGAAATTTTCAAATTTAGCATCGAAATGACTAAAATATTAAATAAGAAAAAGGCGAGTTTCTGGAAAATCACTGTAAATTGTCTATTTATTGTTTGAAGTTACTACAAAAGGATATTTTAATCATTTCCGATTTTCATTAAAAAAAGCTGTAGCTGTAGTCGGCACTCGAAAATGCAAATTCATTAGTCGGCATTTTCAAAATTCAAAAAAGATTTTTACTGAAAAAAGATCATCATCAATATTCCAAAACCGTTTGGAGGTATTGGGACATTTTTCTAAAAATTTGACATGTTATTAATTTTATTTTAAAACGAACAAGGATATACTTGTGAATAGTTTATTAAAATAATAATTTCACATGTATTTGATCACATCATATATTCCTTATCTGCATAAATTAGATCTGTCATCATATCCTTGTACAAATCCTAAAAAACATCTGAAATTACTTGGTAAAATTGCGGCAAAACACAGGTAAGATTGTTATCATCAAAATACTCTGTAAATTCAATTGTAAATTATCATACAGGAAAAGATAAAAGTGAAATAACAAAACTATGAGGGGACTTGGAAGAAATTAATCTTCGACATCGCATTCGAACTCCTCGGTTTCTTCCATGGAATAACTGCTGGAAGTTTCGAAACTAGACTTGGTTACCTGTCGATTGGCGGACACTTCCTGCGAAACGGATTGCAGGACAGTCCTGCTCGATTCCGATTGATGCGATTTGTTCTCTTCGGTGATCGACAGTGATTTGTTTTGCTCGAACTTCGCTGATGCCTCCGCTATTTTCGTGTGGCCGAGATCTTTCGACATCTAAAAGAAGATTTTTTTAAATTTTTCACCCAAGTGTATTTTTGAGTAACAAAGAGTTAGTTATTGGACAATTAACATTAATACTGTAAAAACAAGAGTTCTATGAATACACTCACAGGCAAAATAATCGATCCACACAAATTTTCTATGAATTTCAATCGCAAATAATTTTTTTATTTGATGTCGGATTTAAACGAATATTAAAGAATATTGTAGATAAATTAATGGACAATCGCTCACATTTTAAAAAATTACTAAAAAATACACGTACGTTTATAATATACAGGTTTAAACAAAAAGATGTTTTTTACCATAAGTTTAAGACACTTTGTAGAGTGGCAAAACCGTATATTGTTCTAAATTAAGTTTTATTTATCAAGTCACATCTATTCTTACAGTTTTCTATTTGGTTCACCTCGATATATTTATATTTGTGGAAAATATGGATTTTTTAAAAAAACATTGCAATTTCCAATATTTTTCTGTATGAATAACTAAGGTTGCTATGGTCCATCCATAGCCTACGGAGAATGACAGTGACAGTTTTGTTGAATCATCCCATACTTGGACATGTCATACACGGCTTTCAAAAGCTATCAAATAGTTTTTTGCAAATTAATATTTAAATTTTGAGGTGTTCTCTCACTTTAAAAAATGGACTTGTCCCCGCCAGAGCCATTAATTTAATCCAGGATGGACGGTCACAGTATTAGGTGGCAAGTGTTTTAAACGTCACAAGAAGTAAAGTACAAACATCAGTCGGAGACATTTTTAAAAGTAAGAAGACACCTCAAAATTAACACATTAATTTACAAAAAACAATTTGATAGCTTTTGAAAGCTGTATATGACATGTCCAAGTATGGGATGATTCAACAAAACTGTCACTGTCATCATCCATAGGCTATGGATGGACCGTAGCAACCATATTTTCCACAAAAATAAATATATCAAGGTGAACCAAAAACAAAACTGTTAAAAATAGATATGACTTGATAATTAAAACTTAATTTAGAACAATATACGGTTTTGCCACTCTACAGAGTGTCTGAAACTTATGGTAAAAAACATATTTTTGTGTAAACCTGTATATTATAAACGTTCTTGTATTTTTTAGTAATTTTTAAAATGTGAGCGATTCTCCATTAATGTATCTACAATATTCTTTAATATTTGTTTAAATCCAAAATCAAATAAAAAAGTAATTTGCGATTGAAATTCATCGAAAATTTGTGTGGATCGATTATTTTGCCTGTGAGTGTAATATTCTTTAAGTGTCCAATAACTATGTGGTTTACCCTAGCAAGAACGATTTGGCATCTGGTAAACTTGAAGTGTAACATCTCTAATAACCATAAATACGCGATGTATCCCAACATTTAGCCAACATATCACAGGTGACGCGTTCACGCACCTTTTAATTGCTCGTTACTGCCTCTGCCAAATCGAACAACTGCGACTGGCATTAGTTTATCTAAACGACACGTTAAAGGACAAAGTTCCCCAATAAGGAAACAATTTTTTTTAAAAATCAAAAAGTAGTAGTTAACTACGGTTTCGCGAAAGAATCGAACGGTCGATTTGCAAGGGTTCAAGAAATCGATTGAAACTTTTTTACCTTATTTCTTTATCTAAATGCAATACATTAAAAAAAAAACTCGTCCATCGACAACTTTGTTTTTATTTTTTTAATAACTTTTTTATTTCAAAACGTATCGATTTGAAATTTGGACAAAATGTAGATCTTACTAATGACAATTAATTCATGAGATTTTAACATACAGGGGGCGCTGGTGATAATTTAATTTAAAATTTAACAATTTTTAAAGGGTAAATAATCGAAGCAGCAACTTTGTTTTATAAATTTGAGTATAACACGTTAAAGTATTGATATTTGACTATTATTTGATATATTACCTTTTTATGCAAATGATGTTTCTGTGGCCAGGATCAGTTTTGAATTAGCAGTAGCAGTATTCATAAATGTTTAGTTTAGTACATTTTGTCATTTTTATACAAATATTGTTGTATCTTTTATTAATTATTAAGTATAGTATAACACATAAATGACGTACGAAGTCCGTTAGAAGTTTCTAGGGAATCGCGAAAGACATCGATTTAAAATTTTAATAGCGTAAATTATTCGATTTAGACTTTTTCCTAAATTATTTTGAACAAAATAATACTTCCTGTTTTACCGAAAATGTCTTTAACTTTGTTATTTTAAACAGGACACCTCATATATTTTTACATATTTGAATTCTACATAAAATTCTGAGTAAAATGGCTATACCTACCATATCCTATACCTAAAGTCAATATTTTTCAATCAAATATTTTAATTAATTTTAAACAATGACAAATTAAGTGGTAACCATGGATACTACATTAAGCCACATGTAAAATAACACAGGTTTGTTGATACAAAATAGTATTAAATTTTAACTTTAGGAAACAGTTATTATAATACCAATCAAAAGATTTTTTAATTTTTTATTTGAATATGTTAAAATATACATTATACATTTATAATAAAACCGTTACTAAAATTTCAAGTGGTTTATCTCAAGCTATTTGTTAAAAAACCTTATAAAATTAAATTATTTAAACAATGTTTTAATGTTCCAAAAATTCCACCCCATGTCAGCAAACATAGGAGTGGATGGACCTTAGTTCTTCGTGCAGAAAAAATATTGGAAATTGCAATGTTTTTTTAAAAAATCCATATTTTCCACAAAAATAAATATATCGAGGTGAACCAAAAACAAAACTGTTAAGAATAGATGTGACTTGATAAATATAAACTTAATTTAGAACAATATACGGTTTTGCCACTCTACAGAGTATCTTAAACTTATGGTAAAAAACATCTTTTTGTTTAAACCTGTATATTATAAACGTACGTCTATTTTTTAGTAATTTTTTAAACTTTGAGCGGTTGTCCATTAATTTATCTACAATATTCTTTAATATTCGTTTAAATCCGACATCAAATAAAAAAGTTATTTGCGATTGAAATTCATCGAAAATTTGTGTGGATCGATTATTTTGTCTGTGAGTGTATATAATGTATAATATGTATATAATGACATGACACTTAGTGTCATGGAAACATTTTATTTTACCTCTGAAAGTGTAGTTTCTTCAGACACCTCCTTCTCAATTTCTTTGCTGACATTTCCAGTAACAGTGGCTACTTGCATATCCGACATCTTGGATTTGTTTTGTTTTGTATCTTTATCAGTATTTAGTTTACTGCAGGAAGCTTCGCCTTTGTCGGCTTCAGGAATTCTAAAAAATAAAACAACAAAAATTTATAAAAACTGTGCATATCACAAACATACGAGGTGTGTTCAGAAAATAACGGGAACTGTTAAATTTCGCGGGTTCGGAGGTTCCGGTTGTCATAAAATTTTCTTTATTATGTTGGTATACAATGTATGTATGTATACTATACATGCCCCCGAAGTATGATAAAAACTTTAGCTGTTTTCATTGTTTACTTTGTCTGTGGCAGCCGCTAAGGTTAGACGTGTTTTATGAGCTCGGCGATTTTTCGTTCGTTAAAAGAAATGGATCAAAGAATTTGTATCCAATTTTGCTTAAAAAAAATGAAATAAATTCTGTGAAATGTTAACAAAGGCGCCTATAGTGAGTCTGCTATAAGTAAAACAAGAGTTTATAAGTGGTATAAGAGTTTCCAAGATGGACGTGAAGACGTTGAAGATGACGAACGCCCCGAACGCACAAGCACATTAACAACCGATAAAAACATGAAAAAAGTGGAAGAAATGGTTATAAACCATCAGAGAAGTCGCTGATGATGTTGGTATATCGATTGGCTCATCCCATGACATTTTTTCGAATGTTTTGGGTATGAAACCCGTGGCAGCACAATTTGTTCTAAAATTGTTAAATTTTGAACAACATTTTTGGCCAAAAACAATACTGTAATGATGCCCTAGCCTTCATATTCGCCAGACATGCCTCTGTCTGACTTTTTCCTATTCCCAAAAATAAAGAGAACCTTAAAGGGCCGTCGTTTTGCAAGCATAGATGACATTAAAAGCGCATCGCTGAAAGAACTAAAGGCTATCCCAAAGATCGCGGTTTAGAAGTGTTTCGAGTATTGGAAGAAGAGCTGGCACATGTGCATAATATCCAATGGGGACTATTTTGAAGGCGACAACATTAACGTAGACGAATAAATAAATATTTGTTTTAAAAAAACGAAAATTCCCGATATTTTCTGAATACACCTTGTAAGTAATGAGTGAAAACTCAGTTCATTGACATGATTTTTGCCTAAAAAGTAGGGGGTTTCATTTCGTAATAAAATCACGATTTGCGTGAACAAAAATAGATTTTTTCATAGTGGATTTTTGTGCAGAAAAATATAGATGTTTCCGACAGTGGCCATTTGGATTTCGTCCAAGTTTTATCCGGCTTCAGCCATAATAAAAATAGTATCGCCACTTCAATTTGTGCTGCCAACTATATGCTTGTCTTACACACACGTTCTTTTGTTTTTTTAGATTTTTTTGATGTTGATTTGTTTTGTGAAAAAATAAGCAACGTAATTATAAAACATTATTGTTTGTTTTGTTAAAAAAGTTTATTTATTGAAACAAATTTTGAAAAAAAATAAAGTACCTACCTAGAGAACATTATTTTAGTTTTTAGTAGAAATTTTCAAAATATTCAAAATATTATTGACGTTGAAAGAAAAAAATATTTAAAAAAAAACTTATTAATAATAGGTTTTCCTTAATTATAACTTCACGGTGAATAGGTTTTTAAATAGCAAATTAATGAACTTAAACTTTTAAATTATAAAACAGCAACACTCTCATCTGCATATAAATTCTAACTGACCTTCAGGAATCACATGCATCTATAATGTCGTAAACAGAGGTTTTTGCTTATTTAAAATGATTAAAGCGCCATCCACTGCATAAAGTTTAAAGCAAAAACAGATTCACGGAGGATAGAATCAATTTTTGTAACCTCACATAAATGGTTATTTCTTTTAATTTTTAATAATATTTTATATTTGATTCGATTGCTTTGGATGTGTTTAATTTACTTAGTGAACTGATATTTTTAGTATGCTTTTACTACCTCAGATATTTGAAAACATATAGGTTAACCTAGAAAGAGTAATAGTCACGGATGATAGGTTTTAGACTTTTAAAACATTGTAAAAATAATTAATGCGGTTAAAAATCTGGAAGCTGATCTGTAATATCTACTTAATTATGAAAGATCAAAACACAATAAAAGTGTAGGTCAAACTAATTTATTTTTATTAAATATCACGGGGTAACACCATCGGAGTACATTTCGTGAGATTCACCCATATGTTTATTGTAAATTAAACTACCACTTTATTACTACGAAATATTGCCATATAAAAAATATGCATCCCTTGTATATTTTTAAATAACGAAGGTAGAGTTTTTTAACGATTTAACACCCTGTATATATAAATAATCTTGCTTCAGTACTAATTTTAATTTAAATCAGTAGCGGCAATTTTATAAAGTAGATAAAAAATTACATTATTTTGTAAACTATTCAACACAAAGCTAAAAAAAGCTTCAAAAGTTGTGGCCAAAAAAGGCTAAAAAATGTTGATAGTCATTTACTATAAAAAAAATTCTGAAAAAATCAATAATTAAATAAAATTATCATTCATTCTCCGTATGATCGTTGGCCAACTTTCAGAATGATTCAGAATGATTTTTTTCAGAAAAAGGCAAACAAATGTCCATGTCATAGAAAAAACATAACATTTTATTTTTAAATAAAGTAATTTAAAAAATTCATAAAATATTAAAATAATTAAAAAGAATATTTAATCAAAATAAAATAAATCATAAAATCAAAATATAAAATAAAACTTTATAAAATTCTTAAAATTCCATCTCACAATAATTGTTAGTCCAAAAGGTTTATGATAATAAATGATATTTTTGTGAATTTCTTTTTTTAATTTAAAAAATATTGAAATAGTATATTATATATACAGTTTGATAAACGTCATTTTAGTCACGAATTTTAATTGGGCACAAATGAGCTTACGAGCGAGTGTTTAATAAAGTTAGTGTCTAGAAAAGTTTGGACTTTAATAATTTTAAAACCATACATTTTTTAATCTTGAGTAAAATCTTACCTTTTAATAAAATACTTAGTAAAAAAACTAAACTAAAAATTATTTCTAAAAACTAATTCTATTTTATTTGAACACGTATTAAAGTCTTTTTGTTACTGTCAATGCATTCCCCAAATAACTCCTTTAATACAAACTCGAATCTCCCACCTAATTCGAAACCTAACATTCACGCATTTCGGGTTAAAAATAAATATCATATTCATCAAATTCAATGAACCACCTATTGTCCAATCCGACTCGAATTTTCTCATTTCTCTTGCAATTAAAAATAAATACTCTGATATTGAGACGGAATTTGGCAGGAGTTTCAGCGTTTCAAGGATTGCAATATAAGATTCCTAAGTGGAGACTATGAAAATTTAAATATAAACAAACAAACTTGTTAGCTGGTTAATTTATGAATATTGCACAGCACAGAACTATAAATTAGATTTAATTGAAAAAGGGACAATTTTATGGAGCTGTTTCAATAAAATGAACATTAAATATACATTAACGATATGATGAAACTATACCAGGAACTAGTCTTTAAAAGATTCACTCACTTTTGCTCTTTCATTTGACATTTAAAATACATTATACAAAAATTGTAGGTAATAAAAGAGCAGAGGTAAAGATATGATGATTTCTTGAAGATGTAAACATAGAAACAATATATATACAAATATACACAAAAGAAGATGAGAGAAATTTGTATACACATGTGAAATATGAGCACGATTACTCATACCTGAGGTAATCCCAACAAAAATAGGCGAGTATAATAAGAACTGGGTAGGAAAAGTTAACATTGTATCTGAAATAAAAAAACAATAAAAACGAAAAAAATTAGTAAGCGTTTTTTATTAAATAATAAATTTAAATAAATCATAAAAGGTATTTTAGAAACAAGAGTTTAAAAAGGTTAAATCAGATTTTGAAAAAAAAACGCACTGTCTTTTTTATTCTTTTATTACAAAGGAACAATATTATTAATTTTTTCTAGAACAGGTTAATTCAGTTTGGCTAAACTCAGAAGAACCGTTTTTTATGTCCAATATTTTATTTAATAATTTTTTATTATGGATTCTTGTATGTAGCTCTCGGCGACAAAAATGACCATTATTGATTTCATAAGATATAACCCCGCGTGGACAAAACTAAAGTATAGGACGAACAAAAATGCCAACCAAAACTTATAACATAATCTGATTATAGACTCTTTTGGTAACACAAAAATGTATTTATCAAAATCCCAGCTGATGCTTTATTAAAGTTTTGCATATTTCTTAGTATTTTAAAATTGTTTATGCCATTTCAATAAAATACTAGTACCATTTTTTTAAAAATTTGGCAGAAACTGAGACTGAAATATGGATAAATTACATTATAAATACAAAATAATGTAAAATACAGTTTGCAATATCTTATTTATTGTTTTAAGGTATCTAATACAAAACTAATAAATAACTAAAGATTCTTTGAAGCAAAATCGATTACTGCTCGCCTTAAATTTTCAGTAAAACTTGTTCTTGGGTTTTACATGGAATTGTTTTTAACATAGAAACAGTATTTTTAAATTCTTCAGTCTCTGTACAAACATGCTTCTTACATCTGGCGATATCCCCTAGAAAGGAAGAGCATATCAAAACTTTAGTTCGTTCGTCCGTCCTCTTCCCTTAATAATTTTGTATGCCCTTTATATCTTGCCATTTTGCAGATAAAGCACATACATTCTTGGCTGCCGCGTAATTCTCTAGCAATTTCTAAATTTTGAAAATTTGGCAATTGTGGCTATGGAAAAATACCGTTTTTACCATATTGAAGTAGGTAATTTTGAATCACTTAAGTTAAAGTGTTCGTTTGAAAAAGTCTGCAGTAATTTTTATATTTTCTCAGAAACCCTAAACTCTGAATTTTTCTATTACCAAAAACAATTTTGTCTCCACAGCCAGCACATACCTTCTTTTGATTTTCTTCATGGCTTAACTTGAATTTGGGTTTAATTTTCATTTTAAAATACTATTTTTAACTTTTATTTATAAAGTATACATTAAATAAACAACTAAAGCAAAATGTCACTTGCGTTATAACGTATAGCAATTTTTTTCATAACCACCTTAATTATCGTTTTACAAAATTTGCAAGTTGTAATTATTTCATAGACAAACTTCCAGTATTTTTTGTTATAAAAAATATTTAAGATATAAATCTCCGTTTTTTTTGTTATGTTTTGTTTTGAGTGGTATAAAATAATAGGTGACTCAATAAATTAATACTGGGGAGTAAAGTAATTTAAATGATACAAAGTTTATTATTTTGCTTAATTTTATTAAAATTGTACAGGTAATTTAGTACAATAATTGAAAAATAATATAGAGAAATAGAAAAACAAAAAAGTTTGCAAAACTTTAAAATAGGATCAGCTGGGATTTTGATAAATACATGTTAGTGTTACCAAAAGGGTCAAATATGCTATCAGATTTCTGAGTTTTTTTAATACAGAAATGAAGGTAATCATTAATAATAATTTCGTATCATGGTCTAAACTTTTTAGTGAGAATATAACTTGGTGGAATTCACTGTAAAATGATGAATATACTAATAAAACTTCTATTAATTATACTTCTTGGCTGCTAAGTGAACATCTATTTACGTTTGCCAGGAACCTATTTTCAATTATTAGTCATTAATGCAAACACCAACAACTTGCAATTTGGATCACCTTTACAGCTGTATCGAGTTGCCTCTATGAATCCGCCAATTATCCCTTAAAAACGCAAAATTTCCGCGTTCGAAAATAGTCGGATATCGGTCTCGCATTGCGTGTCGAAAATAGACGCACCGTTTCCCATGTTTTGACTTTTCTTCACGCAGCTTACACCAAGGACTTGGATAAATTGCTTTCTTTTCCGCGTTTGCCTAAGCGGCGACAAGCGCAAAGCAACCAACTGTCCCCCAACTGGCTTTACTCTTCAAGTCAACATCAAATTAACATTTTTCAATGATGCTATAAGTTGAAGAAACGATGCGTACAAAAGCTAATTATGCGTTTGGGTGTTATGCAAAAGTCAAAAGTTTTTTTTATTTTAAATTAAATCACTTCTAAAATTTACTACACTATATACTATACACAAAATGTATATGCACTGATAATAAAACTAATTTTGTATTTGATTAATAAAATAATATTATTTAACTTAAATTTAAAATTGTAATGGCTATAAAAAATGTACCATCTAAGGTACCTTTTTTATTAAATTTTCAGTGTCTCATTGGGACAAAAAACTACGATTTGTCAAAGTAATGAGATTATTTTTATTTAAAAAATAAACTTTTTTACTGTTAATAAAATTCTCATTTAATATAATTAAGCAGCAATGTTGAGCTTTTTGTTATTTCCCTTAAAAAGAGGGGGAAAGGGCCAGCGCTCTCCTTGGTAAACATAACTTTATAATCCACAGTCTGTTTTATAATCTTATTGATTTCACTTGTGCGAGTGAAGTGTGGTAAAATCTAGCATGATAAAAATATCAAAAAGATCACTAAGACAATTAAAATTTCGACGTTTTCTAGAAGAAATATTTAAGGTCTATTCTATAAACGAAGCAGACTTGTTTAAAAAGTGAGTTCATATTTTTTTTATTTTGTACATCAGGTAATATGAGTTAATTTTTTTGTTATAATAAATAATTTGTTTTAATGCCTTGCAATTATTTAAAAAAACTACCCAGCACTCAATAGTATGTTAAAAATGTGACCATTGTTACAATGAAACAAGTTTATTGAATTAACAATTAATTTGTTGTTAAATTTACATAATTTTATTAATATTATAAAAAAAAATATTTTAAACGAAAAGGGATTTGTAAAATTTACAAAATTTCTATGAATAATACCATTACGGTTTTATTAATACTACTAAACGTTTTTGTAAACGGTATAGAACTCTTTTTGTACAAATAATAACTATATTTATCAATGCGTTTCTGCATCTGCAACGTAAATTTCCTTTGGATATAATTAATGCAAATGCTTTTACTGAAAGCAGCGTTTGTAGATAAATATTTTTTATAAAAATGATCTTTTTACCGTAACAAAAGCAATTGTTGGACGAATAGGGATCTTTACTTTATTAAGACAAACTACTTTTTTTGTTAAACAAAAAAATAGTGTAGGCATCTATTTAGGTTAGTTATATGTTTATCTACTTCTATTTCATAATATTGTGTTTTTTCTGCATATAATGATACACATTATAAATTTCCTGCCTAACAACGTGAATAATGAACTCATTGTGATTTAAATCGGGTTTTAAATTGAAAGAAGGATCCTATAATAACAAAATTTATACAAATGGTACACAAAATGACATCCCGACAAAACATAATAGTATATTCTGTAACAAGTTTGGAATACGGCATATTCCGCTCGAGTGAAAAGTGTGTTTTAAAATTTAATTCTTTATTAAACAATTAACATCAAAAGTCTACATATTAAAAAATCAAAAGATTTTGTATACTAATCAGTAGATCAGAAGTACAAGGATGTATAAAACTGATTTTATGACTATTAATTAGTTAAAGACGTTTTTAGGACGGTACCTAAAACAAATTTTTACGATATAATTCAAATTTAAAAAGTTATATAACCATGTTAAAAAAACTTCTTAAAAATACTTATATTATGTTAACATTAATATTTAAAAAACTACTTCTTAGGCTTTAAAACTCATTTTTGCTCATTAGGCTTTAAAACTCATTTTTGCAATAAAACTTAAACTACTATTTTGTAAAATACCTAGTCGATATATTTTTTACAAAAATGTATAAAAGTCTTGTATTTGTTATATAGTTTATTATTTTGTTGTATTTTTCACCATAACGTATATCATTCCTTGATGTATTTTATTGTTTCACTTTTTGATATATTATAGCGAAACTGTTAAATAAAGATTATTTATTATTATTATTATTGTTAAAAACCCTAAATACTTTTTGTTTCCAAAATATCTTTTTTGATTATTTATTACAAGTAACGAATCTTGTTCTTTAAATTAAAAGATTCCTAAACCAAATATTTTTTCCTCCAAACTTACCCTTCTATAGCCGGCAAAGGAGTGGAAAACAATCGAAAAATCAAGGCCCACAAGTACTCCCAAAAATCTCTAATCATCTCTAACCATCAACACCTAGAAACGTTACTCAAACAGA